CGTCTGGTGAGCTCCGGTATTGAGAGGTGACATCAATGCCGGAGTAGGGTGACACGCCTAGTATCGAGAGGTGACATCGATGCTAGGGTGGGGTGATGTGTTCAGGCGGAGAAAAATATATTTATGCCGAATCCGAGTGGTTGCGGAGTAGATGGATTCCGAGGAGAGTGGTGATTGTGCTATGCACATGGGGAGTACATTACCTACGCATGGTGCGCGTAGAGATGATTTGACGGACTATGTGCCGCGACTTGTCGTACGGACTTGATTGTGATTGCTGATATGCTTATCATCGATTCTATGTTTTCGATTCCTGTTTACTAGAATATTAATATATATATATATATATTTTTATATATATATATATATATATATATATATATATATATATATATATATGGATGAGAACGACGAACCTGATTTTCGGCGAGACCCATTTGAACAATCCCCGCAGGATTTAGGGTTTCATGGTAAGGGTTCTTCTCGTACTCTTGCCACCCAAGGAAGTAAGATGAGTCTTGTCCATGAGAGTCACTGCTTGCTTTGCTCGACAACATGTTATTATTTTACTGTCCTTGCGAATACAAAGTAGGTAATAAGAACACTTGTAGGGATTGTATGCGTGTGTGTATATGCGAGGGAGAGTGTATGAGTGTACGTATTTGTGTGGGAGATCAGAGAATGTGAGCCCTGTGGTGGAACAAATGCAAGAAACGTGGGTTATATATAGAGGGGGGATGTGATCTAAAAGAGACAAAGCTCCGACATTATGAGGTATAGAAAAACGAGACGGTGTCTGATTCTTTTGACCCACGAACTCAAATTGTTTTTTCAATTATTTCTTATAATTATATATATATATGTGTGTGTGTGTGTATTATTTGAGCTTTTATTTTGGATGTGTATATGTTTTTTTATTATTTTTCTCCCTTCTTTCCTTTGAGTTTCCGACGTCGTAGTTATTGTCCCATCTGTATTTCGTTTTAGTTTCGGACAGGCCTAAATAATAAATTAATTAAATGTGACGATTTACTAATAACAAATCGCAATCTCTAATCTCTGTCTTTCCATTTTCCGGATTAAGAAAATATATCAAATGGATTATACGTCGTACTTTGTGTACATTCCATGTATATGCCCTTTTAGTATACATGATATACGAGCGGTACGTTAATCGATTTATTAAAGAGAAACTTTTCAAGAACTTTTACAATGTCGAATCAAAATTGAAACATCGCATCTAAAATGATTGTTTGTGCTCGGATTTATTTGGACATACAAAGTCCAAATGTAACTGCTAGCTTTATAATATATATTTTTATTTTATAAGACTAGCTTTATAATATTTATATGTAGGATATTGTCTCTGTTAGCTTTTTCTTTTATCTGATGCATGTTTTTCAAGAGACGAACGCCCTCTAAATTTTATAAATTCGATCAGTAAAACAATCGATTTCATCCATAATAGTAAATTTTATTCTATATATATATACACTTAAATAGGAGGGGATAGTGACACTTGAGTCACCTTTACTGAAGTATTTAAACTAATTTATATAAAATCAATAAAAAATTATTATTAATTTATTCATGCGATCCCAATAAAATCAAACTGATATTCATTATTTTTTATCGTATTATTAATGATCTTAATAATAACTTTTTCTAAATCTGTGTTTAGTCACTATCACACCTAATTTTCGGATGCTGTGATTAAGAAGATCATAGGAATTGAAAATGGCATGGAAGATAATAATTCCCAATTTAAAAGAATAATTAAAAATCAGCTAAAATTGCAGGTTAAAAAAAAGAGAGAGAATGACGTCACAGGGCACAGCGGTGACTTAAGCACCAAGGGATGTTGAATTCAGTGTCTACGTGGCAGCTCTAAGTTAATAGTTTTTACTTTTGACTTTTTTGGACCGTGTATACGCCACGTGGCATGACATGAGAGTGTGGAGAAAGTGGTCCCCCGCAGAAGCTTGCTTCAGTTTCAAAGACTTTGGAGCACAAAGAGAGCATTGTGCGATTTAAGTTCAGTTCGGTCGGAGTCGGAGTCGGAGTTATGGGGAACAATCTGCCCTCTCTCCCCATATTATTACTCCCACCATGTACTTGCAAATACGTACATAAATACATACATACGTACGTACACGGATTACATACGCACGTATATACATACGTACACTCGGATTCTATATATATATATAGCAATGTATAATTTTCTAATCGATTAGACTAATATAGACTAAAAAATTACTAAATTTGTTTTGATTTGTTTTGTTGTAGTAATATTCCTTATAGATAACAAAACCGTTAAATTTTTTTATCTCATAAATCCTTTATGACTAGAGCTTAGAATCAACCTATTGATAATAATAATAATAATAATAATAATAATAATAATAATAATAATAATAATAGCTAAATTGGATGGGGAAACAACACATAAATTATACGTACGTCCCCATCTACTTAGAAATAATAATATTTATAGTTTAGTTACTTTTAACCATATACATATATAACTATGAACAATTTGATGAGCCAAAAAGAACCATATATATAATAAATCATTAATCGATAAAATGGGTTCCACTTATATAATTAAATTTAATAATGAATTATCGAAAGTCGAAGATATCCATCCACACGTCCTGCCGTCCGTGCATACAGCAGATGGCTAAAACGACTAAGTACCTAAAGAATATACATTCTTACAAAAAAATAAATAAATAAATACGCATCATCCGTGTGTATTAATTATTATTTAATAACCATATCAATCCGTATCATGTACAGGTTGCTTTTCCACGTTGACTGTATATATTATTTCGATAAAACATTTATTGTCCCCTTTGCACTATCATTTTCAATAAAAAGATAAATATCAATTCATTTAGAAAAAGTGTGTATATCCCATTATTTTTCTATTTAGTAAAAAAAAGAAAAATCAAAAGAAACTAATTTTTTTAGAATTTGACGATATTTGTTGGAGGATATAATCAATCCAAAAATTACAATATATTAATATTCTCACTGGTTACAAAAAAGAAAAAGAAAACAAAACTCTCCACTGTGAAATTTAGTAGCGATATTTTTTTTATTAAACCAAAAAAAAACTTAAAATAGTGACATGTGGCATTCAAAAAATTGAAAATTAATAAAGAAAAATAAACAAGAAAATAAACAATAGTTGTCGTTTTCGAGAGCAAGTCCCCGCGTTTTAGACAGGATGTATGAGGAACAGCTAAGTGGTGGTTGAGTATCCATAAGAATCTCGATCGCACGCACGACTTCTTCCTCCTTATTAATTATTTTAATTTCTTAAATTAAAAATCCAAAAGTATTAATTAGTTAATTATACTAAGTGCACTACTAATTTTTATTTATTTATTCGCTGACTATCTTTTAATTAATCAGATTCGTTCCGGAAGCTTTTGTGCAAAGAGCCAAAAGAATAAAAGATTACGAGATAAAACATTTATTTATTTATTTATTTTCGTGAGCGATTGATAATTAGTTGCATGAAAACGAACCACACGCGTTTTTTGCTGTAAGCAAAATCCGGAGTTTTGGTCTTATTAGTGAAATATGAATGATATTTCTTTTGCGAAATGAAGATTTTCTAGAAAGTGTGACGGTATAAAGATTAACAAGAATCGATATTTGATTTCTGATTACAAAGCATGATTTAATGGATCTTTTGTTGCCCTTTTTGAATTTTGTAAAAAAAATATCATAAATAAGCATAATATATCCGGTTTTATTCATTTTATATCGGCTCGTGAAATCGATATACACAAGGATACGCATTTATGTCATCATAGCAACTCTATTCAATTGATATATATATATATATACACACACATATATATGAAAGGAATTTTACGTATGGGTTGAGGGATATATAATTTAAATCATGTTTTGCATCTTATGATTGTGAGGAATTTTTTTCAACTTTCTAAAAATTATATTGTAAAGTTATTCATATTTAATCTTGAATAATAATATCCAAACTCAAAACCATGCAATGTTAAATCTGTTACTTCCTCTGTTTATGCTACAATCTTTTTTCTTTTAAAGTTGCATATTAGTTATTTTCATTTAAAAATGTATTGATGGTTACTAATATCAGCTAGTACAAAAATAATAAAGATGTACATTAATTAATGAGTATTTTCTTTTTATTCAAATAGATCTACAAATTAAACCGTCCAAATAATAGGCAAAGTCCAATCAATTACGAATTTATGGGTACCTTTTTAGAAAAATTTGCAAGTAATAATTACTATATTAATTGTAACTTTCCTTCGTTATCAAAGGCAATGATGCTATATTTATTTACCAAATTCATCTAGACGTCCAACAATAGATAGATAATCACATCTTTTCAGATTATATATATATATATATATATATATATAGAGAGAGAGAGAGAGAGAGAGAAACTTACAATTTAATCTTTGTGAACAAATCATATTTCTCTTCAACCATATTTTCAATTTAATTTATGTTTGAATAATTCTTGCAAGAATGTATAAATATATTAGAGGGTTATTTTAAATGATGAAATTTATGATATAAATATATGTGTGAGTGTATATATATATAGGAAAATCTTTACAACCAATTAAAAAAATATACAAATGTATTAGAAGTGTAATTATTTGAAGGATGGAACACAAAACTTTAGAGAACAGAAACAAAACTTTACCACCAACAAAAAAAATATCCGACAAGGGAAAAAAAAAACAAAAAGAAGGAACACAGAGTGGTTTGAGGAACATCACAAAAGCAATGAGCCTTTTGACAAACTCACCATTTTCGTTGGACACGAAGTGTTATTCCAATTCTTTGAACGATTTTATGAGGCGAAATTTGACACAATAATTGCAAATACACCATTTTCCTTGGTCACGAAGAGTGTGTATATATATATATATATATATATATATATATATATCCTCGTATCATGTCGGAAATATATTGGAAGACCCGTCACCTGTTTTTATAACAAGATCAATCCATCTAAGTTATTTCATATCAGACGTGATCGAACATGTGATTTAGTATTAGGATTTGAGACCAATCTGAGTCGAAGCTTTCATTGCACATATCTATTCTAAAATTTCTAACCTTTTATATACCGAAAAATTCACGTGAATTTTTACAAAATGATTCAAGAAAATCTACGGACGAATCCAAAATTGGATAGTTCAACGATGAAACGGATGCGCAAAACGTATATTCTATTTCGAGTTCGAATCTCAAATTTGGAAAGGGGATTCCAAATAATATGACTGACTTTCGGCCACTTGTTTAATCTGGGCCTTGATTAATGATACTCGGTTACAAAAAAAAAATGATGTAGAGACGAAAAGAAATACATTGAAGGTACAATTGGCATTTGATCATATGTTATAAATGATTCTCACATATATTTTTTCTAACCCTAAGTTACGTCTGCGAGCCAGCCTATGGTCATATATTGCTAGACCCTAATTTTATCAAAGACCGATTCAGAGAAAGTCGGTGAAAATTTTCAGACACATATATTTCATTTCCATAACAAAAATGGAATGTTCTGCAGAAAGTAAAAGCATGAATTCAAAGCTGAATCAAATTTTGGAAGTACCGGCTTGAAAATTAATGTCATTTTTCCTATTTTTACCCCAAGGGAAAAGTCATTTCATATTTATATATACACACACATTTGGAATACGGATGACTTAAAATTCTAGTGTTCACATTGAATCAGTAATTTATCCACAAATATTAAATAATTAAGCATTTATGAGCTCTGAAAGACTAATTTTGGTTTCAATTATAATAAATGCATGGTTTCATAATATATGAAACACGTACAAAAAGTTTTATAATAAACGGACACATATCAGATTAGATATTAGACTTTGAGATCAATTAAGATCGATTTGGTGTAGTTTGATTTGGTATAAACCTATATTTTTAATTTTGAATAAATATCCGAGAAAATTCCCTCTAAATCACCCTTTAAATCCACTCACATTCAATATGATTATTTTTATATATATATATATATACGAGCGTGAAGGAATGTATAGGAATGTGGAGTTTTTGTCCGTATATTTTTTGCGCAGGATTTGATTAGATATTGTCTTCATATAATTTAGTTCAAACCCTATCTTGCGATACCAAATAATTCACAAATGGTATACTTTATAATATTCGAAAATAAAAAGAATTTTGAAGAAATGGAATAGAAACTGTATATGTCAAGAAAATAATCTAATTATTTATATTTGTATGCTTTTATGGTTTTAAAAGGTTAATTATTGTATTAGAATTTCAGTTTAGATAAACTAGATTTTTTATGTTGTTTTTATAAATTAGAAACTTTTTATTGTTCTTATTTATATTTCAGATAGATTTTAATATGCTAATAGAATGTAACGTGGATGGGCTCGTAACCACAATGAAAGAGGTGTTTATGATGGGAAATTTAGGTGAGACTGTAAATAAATTTCCTAACTATATATTAACTACTAAAAATATCTCGGACTTGGTCTGCTATTTTTGCAAATTCGGTACTCTATTATATATATATATATATATATATATATTGTGTACTTTGACTCTATTTTTTAGCACTCGAGCGGACCAAAAAAAAATGCATTATAACTATTTTTCTCTCTTATTTGGATAAATTTATTTTAAAGTTTATATAGCATTTTATAGTTTTATTTTTTAAAACTCGAGCGAACAAACAAGAGAAATGCATTATAACTAAGTTTCTCTCTTATTTCAACTAAATTTTAATTTAAAGTTTATATAGCATTTCATAGTAAAATCCAAGTAGTCTCTTCAAGTTAAAATAGAAAAATATATTAATTAATGGAATTACTTTAGATATTTAATTCTATTTCTATTTATGCATTAAAAAACCCTAAAATTACACTCATGTGAGGGAAAAAAAACAGAATGAGTAGGATTAATCATCTGTCATCATGTCCCTTAATAAAGAAATTAGTTGCAGTCCAATAAATCCATACATTCTTTAAACTAAAACGCACCAAATCTCCATTCCAAATTCTTTTCAGCAGCATTTTCTCCTCAAAAAAAAAAAAAACCCAGAAACCGAAATACCTAACCTTTGATGATGTCCTTGAAAGAAATGATATCAACAATGGGAATTTTTTTTTAAAAAAAAAAGCAGCGAAAGAAACATGAAAGTGAAAGTCTAAAGAGGCTTTTTTGATGAAAGCTTGCATCTTCCCCATATGTGTTGGGCAAATGGAGCACCAGACATTGAAGATAAGAATGAAACCTGTTTGAAGAGACAACACTTGGGCTGTCCAAAAGGAAACCGAGTTTCGGTGTATGCATTCAAAACGGTAAAATTCTATCCTCTCCCTTGCAAAATGCACACCTCCATTATTGGGTGGCTTTTGTCTAATAAGTGGTTTCCCCCCTCCATGGCCCAACAGATGGAAAGAAATCAACCATCTTTCTGATGTTTCACCTTTATTTCATCCAAGTGATATCTATCATAAACCACAATCAAAATTCGGTGTTTCTAAAGCAGGAAACAAATGCAAAAGAACGCACGAGGATGACCGATTTATCGTGGAAAATGAACCAACATTATTAGTATTCCGGCCTTCCCTCGTGTGTTTCCTGCACAACCTAACTGAGACCATGGAGTTGCAACCATGGTTCAAGGGGCTAGAGAAGCTAAATTGAAAAGTATAATTAGATAATGTGGAAACTCTAAGCGGAAAGAGGGATAGAGAAAAGGGCATTACGAGTGAGTTTTCCTTGAAGAGGAGGCTCTCGGGATTCGTTTTCGGCAATGTGGAAACTTTTTCTTTCGGTAAGAAGTCACTCACTGGTAGGATTTGAGGTGGAAAATTTGGCATTTTGATTGGTATGAGCTCTGTAGAGCAGCCTGCTCGAACTTTTTCACCATGGCTTCGTTTTCTTCTAAGCTGGTTTGGGTGAAAAACCGAACCCACCAAGATGGACTCCTCAACTTTGCCTGCAGAGAGAAGAAGAAACCCAAAAAAAATGCAATGTTTAGTATATCATAGTCATAAGCAGATTCTCAACAATGAGGCCCAAACACAAACATTGGGTGCTGCTTTGTTGATCTTATCAGTTAGAGAGATTTTCGGGCCAAAGAGGGGAATTGGATAAGAAAAAACTGGCAGCAGAAATGGGCTACTATATTCCATAAAGTCAAGCCAGTGGGCAAACGATTTTGTAACAATTTAAATCTTCCCAACATCATCAGAAATGCCAAAATGAGCAGCACGCCTAATGAATTCATTACCCATCAGCCAAAGAGAAACAGAAATAGCACTGTAACTAGACCAAGAATCATGAGAGTTACTGTCACTTACCGCCCTCCCGAATCTTGAGACATCCGTGGACTTAGATCTTTGCTGACCTGGAATTCCTACATATGTAACCATCAACATGGTACTTGATTGGTCAAAAACAAATACTTGCCTGAAGAAATTAAGTAATCAAAGCGAAGAACAATGAAGATATCAAGCAAGTGAGCAACAAAAACAGGAAAGAGTAACAGCAAGCTTCTGGAGTTTCCAAAACAAAATCTGGTAAAACTTGGTTATCAAAGTTAATTACAAAAAGTTCTTTCAGACATCAGCCTGAATTTATAAAGCTGTTGAAAAAAAATGCTATATTAAACAAGAATCGCTTTACAAACTGAAAATACAAACTGAAGAAATTTTTACGGATTAACAGGCAAGATTCATCTAATCTCATTTATTTATGATCAAGATGGGAACATAATTTGGACTTGCACATCATCATATAACAGCAGCCAGGAAATGATCTCATCTGGCTCAAAACAGTCGAGTTAAAAGTATCAAGGGAAACTAGAAAAGATGGTGGTTTTTTAAAAAGCATGTCATTATAAAGAAGATTACTATAAGGAAGATTATTAAAAGGTACTTCCGAAATTGATAAAAATAACTCGAGGCTTCTCACCCGTAAATATCACGAGGCTTTCAGCAGATACCCTAGCCAAATCTGGAAGAGTCTTATTGAGGTACCTCGGAGACAAGTAATCTAAGGCATCCGAAACAATCACAAGCGGGAAAGACTTTGCCCTGTATGGCAGGGGAAACTTGATATCAGCAACTCGGACAGAGCCTCTATGGACGAGCCCTTTGCATTTGCTGTCAGCATCCTCCATATCATATGGTTCCACACCCCACGCCTCGGTATCTTCTTCTTTCATTAAGTTAGAAACAATCGAACAAGTGTCGGGACCGACATGCAAAACCTTATGCATACTGTCCCCATATGTTTTCTTCAAAACCGGAAGGGCTCGTTGGACCTCCATGGCACAGGTGTAGTCTCCTGTTTACAAATACAAATTGCGTATAGACAAAACAGTGAGCTATATCACAATGTAACATAGAGAACATTTAAGCACCGGTTCAACTGAAAGAGCCCCGAGCAGAACACATGTAGATAGACATCAAAGAGCAAAATGTAAAAGACTTGGATGTCAATTCAGCATACTTCTCAGAACTCGTAGGCCACATCATATTTCAAGAATCAAATGTGCACTTAACTGAATGAAATATAACTTATCTCTGCAACAAGAACATGTGCTATACAGGAAATCCATCCATCTATACTGGATAATGGATATAAGTCAAGAACAGACAACAACTAGATGGGAAAATGACATATATGTTACCTTGCACTCTACTGAATGCCTCTATCGTGCGACCTGATCATAAAAACCAGGTTACAAGTTAGAACATGGAATATTTGCTTGAACTTCCATGAACAAGTCGTCATGGAAGCTAGACCAAAGTGGATAAAAAGAGCGCAAAATGACCTAAATATAACACACTCAAGACAGATCGCTGAAAAACTTTTCACTTAGATAATACCCGATAAACATTTAACATATACTTGACCTGAAATATGTGAAAAGATTCAACAGATCAAAGCCAACAACACAACCAATGTTAATCACTTCCTTCTGGATTTGTCAATAAGCACAACAGGGAGAGAAATACCAAAAATCCAAAGACGGAAGCTTTTAACACGAACCTGAACCCCCTCGGAGATAAAGAACAAGGAGCAACGAGCCCTGCAGAACAATAACCACAATGGACGATTTTCAAGATCCATGGAAGTACATAGATAAGATGCTGCTAATACCATTACATAAGCATGAATTCACACTAAACCAATCATTTGGAGAGACAACAGAGCGAGAAATGTTTACCAACACCAAGAGACCAATGGACAGATACGAAGAAGATCGCGATTTGGAGCTAAACAAGCCACCAGCTCCTCCGCCATCTCCGTACCTACGAGTAGGATTCGCGTGCCTTCTCGACATGCCTCTCAACTTAATCAACGACGTTCCTACCAACACCAAACGACAAGGAAATGCAAATTTCGAGAATCAGAAATTCTATGATCGACGCCATTAACCCAAAACGAGCACGGATTGGGCGAGATTCGAAAGAGGGAATGATCACGTAAGATTCCGGAAACAAACGAGAATAAGCTTTGAAGACGGGGACATTACCGATGGCAAGCGACGAAAGAAACCGCATTCGCCGGAAAAATCGTCGACGAGATCTGTCGATGAGAGAGAGAGAGAGAGAGAGAGAGAGCAATGGCTTTGCACCTGACTCCGTGACTATTCAATCAAAATCCATGGCGCGTTTGTGTCGGTCGTGGAAAGGAACCTAACGTTTTTTCATTTTAAATTAAACAAAATAAGGAAAACAAATATATGTATTTCAAATATTTGCCCTTACATTTGAATAGTTGCAATTCAGCCCCCACTTCAAAACGACGTCATTTAAGAAACCTGTTCGTTAATGATGGGCTTACTTTCCACTCGAGCCTAATAAAGGCCCAATGACTTGTCACCTTGATTATTTTTTATAATGGAAAATAAATACATGAAAACCGAAAATAATGATTTCGTTGAATACTATAAATTAAATCGAGGTTTCAGGCTTTCAGCAGAAAAATTCTCTGCTTTATTAAATAATAAAAAAATAACAATTATATACTTAACCTACAAAACAGGAAACCAAGTAAAAGTGGTGACGGTTGAAACACCCGGTGAAAGGGTGTATGTGAGAAAAGACATAACCGTAGGATATAACCAATATACCGGTTGTGTCTCTTGCATAAACACCACTTGAATCCTATAAAAGTATAGGTTCTATATGACAAATGGATATACAGAAAACATCAGAAAAGAAAACGTGAATTATCAGTTTTGGTGAGTAGCATATGGGTTGTGAATCTGCGATTCCGACTCTGGTAGCCGGTTTCCGACCATCGTCCTGAGAATCTGAAGACTGTGATTTCAACTAAGGATAAGATCGACAGAATCGGTACGCGATTACACTTCTGTATTCTTACATTGGTATCAGAGCTTGAGTGGTGATTTTCTGTCTTCATTGGATTCTCTGTTTTTGCTTCTGTTCTCTGTCTTCGTTCGTTCTGTGTTTGAGTCTCAATTCTCGTCTTTCTGTCTTCGATTATGCATCTGTCGTCAATGAGAGAATCGTGAATCTCGTCGGATTATGATGAGGATTCAAGACTCGTCTCTCTTCCGCTATGTTCATCGTTTTTTTCAATGATTGCTGGTGAGATGGTGACTGAGAGGCGGAGGGTGGATATGAGATAGACAGAAAAGAGAAAGAAGACGACACGGTTTTTTTTTCTTCAGAAACCCTAAATTTCTTTTTTAAAGTTGGGCCTGCGATATGTTAAAAAGATTATTGTTCCAATTTTTTTGAAATAAACTTGAATACTTGGTTTATTGGATCGGTTTTGAGATTTGGAGCATGTATAGCATGCGCGAGTTTGAATGAATCAATTAGCATATATACAGCTTTTTTAAAGAAAATAATATTGTAATATGATGTTTATTCGTATTGATAGTTATTTGATCAATACTTCGTCTCGATTATTCGCATCGTGAACATTACCGAACCGTGGAAAAATTTAGGTTTGTAGATGAAGTTCTTGCCTAAATTAAAATTTTGGTCATTTTTAATTAATTGATGGTGATCAACTTTTAATAATGGGAGTGATTGAGTGTTTAACATTTTTTTCGATTCCATGTCGAAGTTTGGTCATTATTAATTAATTAAAGATTGATCCGAAATGAGTTTATACTAGTGGTTAATTTCTATGCACTTGTCTCTGTGTAGTGAGTGATGGCTACAAGTAAGACCATAATTGCTGACCTCAATCAAGGAGACAAACTGAATGATAAGAATTACGATGTTTGGCATCGAAAAATTCAGTATCTCCTTGAGGAGCAAGATTTGCTGGAGCACATCACAACTCAAATGGCAGAACCTCAAATAGTAGAGACTGAGGAAGGGGCCACTGAGCAGCATACTCGTGACCAAGCGGCCTATAAGACTTGGAAACGACAAGATCGTGTCGCTCGCATAGTGTTGCTGAGCAGTATGCGAAATGACATAATGCTGCGTTTTGAGAAGCACCGTTCAGCCATGGCGGTATGGGATGCCGTCAAGATTCAATATGGTGGGACCTCCACTACTAGATTGCGCCAACTCACTATGAAGTTCGATGTTTATAAGAAACGTCATGATCATTCGATGAAGCAACATCTTACGGCAATGTCGAACATGATCAATGAGTTGCGAGCTGCGGGTCATGCGTTGACCGATGAGCAACAAGTGCAGGCTGTTATTCGCTCACTTCCTAGTTCGTGGGAACATATGCGAGTAAACCTCACTCATAATGATGGTATCAAAACCTTTGATGATGTTGCTCGTCATGTTGAGCTCGAAGAAGACCGTCTCATGGCCGAAACGGCAGGAGAGGCCTATATGATGGAATCCGGTGCTCGAAAGACATCGGGTTTCAAGCGCAAAAAGAAAGGAGGAGCGTTCAACCATAAGGGGTTTGCTTCATCAAAGGGGAATCCAAAGCGCAAGAAAATAAAGCGCGGAGGAAACAAAGACAAGACGAACATGACTTGTTACAACTGTCGCCAGTTGGGTCATTTTGCTAGAGAGTGTACTCAAGCAAAGGTTCGTACCGAACTATCTAAATCCTCTCGTTTGTTTGTTAGTAGTTGTGTAATGTTGGTTGAATCTGTTCCTTTGTGGACTGTAGTTCATAAATTTGATAAAGCAATCTAACGCTTCAGATTTATGGCGAATCAGGTATACAATACCATAACGCGAAAAATCATCGATAAAAGTGATGAAATATAAGGCACCATGTCTTGCCCTCACATTCATTGGTCCACAAATGTCAGAATGGATAAGCTCTAAAGGTGTGGTAGCCCTTTTACCAACTCCAAAAGGCTTTCTTGTGGCCTTTCCAGCTAGACAATGTTCGCAGACGGGCAATTCCGTTTTAGCGATCCGGCCTAATAAACCTTCTCTCGCTAATCGATTCATTCTTTCTTGCCCTATATGCCCTAGTCTAGCATGCCACTTGATGAAATCAACATTTTCATCAATACTAGAAGAGAAAATGTTGATTTCATCAAGTGGCATGCTAGACTAGGGCATATAGGGCAAGAAAGAATGAATCGATTAGCGAGAGAAGGTTTATTAGGCCGGATCGCTAAAACGGAATTGCCCGTCTGCGAACATTGTCTAGCTGGAAAGGCCACAAGAAAGCCTTTTGGAGTTGGTAAAAGGGCTACCACACCTTTAGAGCTTATCCATTCTGACATTTGTGGACCAACGAATGTGAGGGCAAGACATGGTGCCTTATATTTCATCACTTTTATCGATGATTTTTCGCGTTATGGTATTGTATACCTGATTCGCCATAAATCTGAAGCGTTAGATTGCTTTATCAAATTTATGAAGATGGCAGAGAATCAACTCGGTAAGAGCATTAAGGCTCTTCGGACCGATAGA